AAAAAAAAAAAAGAAGAAAGAAAATGAAAACAAAAAATTAAAGGATGAATTACTGAAATTTTGCCAGGGATTTAGCTCAGTTGTTCTGTCACCTGACTTGCAAGCGCAAGGACCTGAGTTCGATCCCTGGTACAAAAAACAAAAGAAGACACAGCTTCCACAGGAAAAGATAAAACCTTGGCTGCTACCCACACCCAAGAGAAGTCGAAAAACCTCACTGAAGATGTCAGGAACTTCTTCTCAGCAGAAAGCCTTTTACGGGCCTGTCAGAAACCCCAAAGAGCGAGAGGCCACAGCCCGGCCTGGGAGGAAGTGCGCCTGCTGTAGCTGCTCGCCTGTGCGAACCCATCCTTCCCCGCTGCTGGTGACATCCCCACATTTCTCCCTGGCCTGCTGCCACCGTTGTAAGATTTATCACACGTAGTCCACACCTGTCATCCCAGCACTCGGGGAGGCTGAGGCAGGAGGATGGCACACTCCAGCCCAGCCTGGGAACTTAGTGACTTAGCAAGGACCTGTCTCAAGGCCCCGGGCTCGGTCCCCACCCTGAGGGAACCTGAGCAGCCTGAGGCCCTGGAGGGCACATTTCATCCCTGCCGGCGTGTGTTGGTTTCCCCCTAACTTCTGCCTGGCACACCCCACTGTGGGCTGTCCCATCGTGGCTGCAGTCATGCGGCAGGGGCATCTGTGTTCCGTGAGCTCCCCCTATATATTTACGGGGCTCTCTGCCTCTGTAGCAGCTACTTCTCTTTACACAGCTAACAGTCTTTGGAGTGAACGAGCCTGTCCGTATTTCTGTGGGTGCCGTCTCCCTACTTCTCTTAGACATGATGCCCGAAATGCAACTATTAGTGTTAAAGAAAAATTCCAAGTTTGGTGTTGGTAAGCTCAAAAACAACTGAACACGTGGACAGAACAGGGGTCCTAATGTTGCTAGACACTAACCAGTCGGAAACCATGTCTGTGAGTGTTGTATTTAGAATTGGCTCTAGCGCTTCATATTTAATAGTAATGAAATTAGTGCAGAGCAGTGGGCATGGGGTTCCTGCAAAGACTGAGCCAGTTTTCCCTTAACAGTGTCTGCACCAACGGTGGCTGAAGAGCACAAGGCCTCCACCTCTTCGGCACCAGGAACCAAGCCCCAGAGAATTCGGAGGCAAAGGAAAAGGCAGCACCAATCCCCCTACCATTTTCAGGAGTTTAAGCACTTACACTGAGGGAGGAGGGTCCCAAATTCAAGCCCCACCTGGGCAACTGAGTGTCTCAGAAAGAGAGGAGGGAGCACTGGGGATGGAGCTCGGGTACAGCGCCCCTGGGCCTAACCCTGCAGCACTGGAGGGGGGATATCAGGGCCACCCTGGTTTGAGCCTCTGGTGGGGGTGGCACAGCGCAGTAGGAGCACAGGTCTGGGAGCCGGGGTGGGGCGGGGAGCAGGGGGTCCCAAGGCCCCCTTTGAGCACCTGGCCCCAGTGCGGGGGAGCTCTCCCAAGTCCCTGGGTCTTCGAGCCCCAGAGCCCCTCTGACCTGCTGCCCCGAACCCAGAGCCTGCAGGGGCTTCTGGGGCTGCTCAGGTCAGACCCAGCTGTCTCTGGGGCTTGGTGGCCACACAGGGCTCTGTGTGTGTGTGTGTGTGTGTGTGTGTGTGTGTGTGTATGTGAGTGCACACCTGTGTGTGGTACTGGGCATTGACCCCAGGGCCTTTGCACCTAGCTCCATCCCCGGCCACTTAAAAATTTGTATTGTATTTTATTTATGGTGCTGAAGATTTAATGCAAGGCCTTCCCACTGAGCTACCTCCCTGGCCCTTTTTATTTTGAGATAATATCTTGCTAAGTCATTAAATTGCCCAGGCTGATTTCAAATTTGTGATCCTCCTGCTTCAGCCTCCCAGAGTGCTGGAATTACAGCCCTGCACTATCATGCCCAGCACCTTTGTAAATTTTTTTGTTTTATTTTGAGACAGGTTCTTGCTAAATCACTTAATTGCCCAGACTGGGTTTAAACCAAAGATCCTCCTGCCTCAGCCTCCCAAGGTGCTGGATTCAGTGTCCACCACACCTGCCTATGTCCGGCTTTCCCTTCTGGAGTATTTTAAAGCGAATCCCGATCACACCCCAGCCCCGGAAGCCATGGAATCTCTCACCGGATCAATCCCGTACCATTCAGCGCACCCCCTGGGGTCTCAGGCTCCGTGGCTGCTTCTCACCCTGGAAGTTCATCCCGAAGGCCGGACCGCGCGTCACCTCTCTGTCTCTGTGTGCTCCGAAGGGCTTCGCCTCTACTGTTTTAATATCTGTCGTCGGAGGGCAGCTCGGGTCTGGCAGAGTGAGTGCTCTGAAGTTCTGGTTTGAAGAGTGTGAGCAGTTTCACTGATCTTAAGGGGCAACGTGGCTGTTTCCCCTTAGTGCCGAACCGTGGAAGACACCTTTCCGAGGAGTTCAGGCTCTGAGGTTCAGGGAAGGGGGCTTGGGCTGAGATAGAGCACTGTGTGAGTGCCTGTCTGGGAGCGCCCGGTCCTGCCCACCCCGGGGGTTCTCTCTGGGGCACTGTAGCTGGTCTGTGCATGAGCGGGGCGCCCTGTTGGAGCTGATGGCCAGGGCCCTGTTGCCTGCCAGGCCCCCGGTGTCCTCTTAGGCCTAAACATAGACAAAAAATTGTAATATTTCTAGCAGAAAACATAGGAGGAAATATTTATGACATGAGAGTGAGCAAAGATTTCTTAGGTGAGACACCAAAAGGATAATCCATAAAATAAAAAATTAATTATTTGGACTTCACCAAAATGAACAGCTTCTAATCTTCAAAAGACTGCTTAGACAGAGCACAAGTCAGAGTAGGAGAAAATATTTGCAACTCACGTACAGTGAAACCTTGGATTGCAGGTAACTTGCTCCACGAGTGTCCCACTGGATGAGTAAACATTTCCAGTAAGTTTTAACTTGATAAACAGGTGATGTCTTGAGCGATATCTGTAATGTGATCACAACTGAGCCCATCTCCCTCCCTACCTCTCTGTGTCATCTGTACACCTAGCTCTCTATACTATATCTCTATCAAATCATCTGTACCTACCCATCTGCACCTCTTTCTCTCTCTCTCTCTCTGGGATAGGCATGAAGGTTTTCAAAGGTAAGTACAGATTAATTTGTTTATTTTTCTTTTTTTTTCTTTATTATTTTGTATTACATTACAGCATTGTAATCGTCTTTATATGCATATTTTTGGATTGTGGAATGAATCATCTGAGTTTCCGTTATTTCTTCTGGGGAAATTTGCTTTGATACATCAATGCTTTGGATTACAAGCATATTTCTGGAATGATTTATGCTCACAAACCAAGGATTTACTGTATCTGATAAAGGATTTGTGTTCAGGATATGGAAAGGGCTCTTTGAACTTAATAGTTAAATTTGTACAGGAAAATGGGCAAGGGCAAGGTAGAGCATGCCTGTGATACCAGCATGTGGGAGGCTGAGGCAGGAGGATCGCCACAGGTTTGAGGCCCGCCTGGGCTACCTAGTGAGTTCAGGGCCAGCCTGAACTACAAAGGGAGACCCTGCCTCAAAAAACCGAAAACAGGGCAGGAGATTTAGCTCATGGTGCCACCTTCTGCCTTCCAAGCACAAGGTCCTGAGTTCGATCCCTGGTACATCAAAAATAAATAAATATATAAATAAAAAATAAAGGAAAATATTTGAAAAGATTCCAGCATCAAAGAAGATATATGGATGGCACATAAGCATAGTAAATTATCCCCTAGCATGTAAGGAAATGCAAATTAAAACAGGATGAGCTACCACTGTGCACCTATTAGCATGGCTGAGTTGGAGAGCCTGACTACGGAGTACGCAGCGTGTGGGGCACGAACTGCCCTGCTGGCCGGTGGGATGTGAAAAGGTCTTAGCCACTGGGGTAACACACTCGCACGGCTTCTTAGGTAAACACACACCTCCCCTGCAGCACAGCCATTCTGTCTTCCGTATTGACCCAAGTGACATGAAAACCCACGATTATGCAGAAATCTGCACAGGAAGTTGATAACAGCTTTGTTTAAGTCACACACACACACACACACACACACACACACGGAAACAAATGTCCCCCAGCTCTGAGATGGATAAACAAGCTGCAGTAAATCCATGAATGTTGGGGAGCCAGTGGAGGCTTCACCAGGCCAGAGCTCCGAGCCTGCGTGGGTGGCTGGGCAAGCTCGAGCCAGACCCTCTGCTGCAAAGCCACGTCTGTCAGCAGGCTGCGTGGGCGAGTGCACGTCCCCCGTGGCAGAGAGGAATCCATAAAGCAGTGCTGACCAGAGGAAACCAAACCCTAAAGAACGCAAGTAGCTTCTTGGCCTGTGATGGGTTACACCCCAAAAACCCATCATAAGATGAAATACTATAAGTTGAAAATGACCCAGCACACCTGCACCACCCAACATCACAGTCTGGCCCAGCCTATCGCCGCCCCCCCCCCCCAACCCAGGGCCTTTGCACTGAACTACACCCCCAGCCCTTTAAAGTTTTTCCTTTAATTCTGAAACAAGGATTCACTAAATTGCTAAATTTCCCAGGCAAAGCTTGGACCTGAGATCCTCCTGTCTCAGCCTCCCAGAGCCCTGGATTACAGTGCTGTGCCACCTGCCCAGCGACCCAGCCTAGCTTCATCACACTCAGAACACTTGCATTACCCTACAGTCCCACAAGATAATCCAACACAAAGCCCATTTTATAACGAAGTGACCTCACCAGTCTCCTGAGTGCTGCACCGCAGCAAAGAGCAGTGGGCTTATGGGCCCGCCTGTTCTGTGTTCGGGGTCGACATTCTTAGACGCGAACCTGTGATGTTAGAAATCAGCCTGTCTGTCGTTAGGTGGTTAGGCCGCAGCTGACTGGAAGGGCGAACGGAGGCACTATCTGCAGGCCCGGCCGAGTTAGGGGCTGGGAACCAGGGCCGGCAGGTGGGGAGGAGCCTGGTCTCCGCTCCATTTTGGGCAGATGGATCAGGACTGTGAACCAGCCCCCTCCAGTGGCCAGATGTGGAAATGCTGGTCCAGGCCTCACAGCGGAGTGGCTGGCTCATCCTGAGGGCTCCAAGCATCAGCTAACCTTGGGGAGGGGGTGCGAATTCTGAGCTCTGAAATGGGATTGAGAACCCCAGAACAGTAGGAGCTCAGTCCTCAGGTCCTGGGCTCTGCCACACCGAGGACAGTGACTCCATGTGGGACAGGTAGGAAGGAAGGAAGGTGGGCCCCGCCCCGCTCAGAGGGAGCTGAGTGAGGCCCAGGTACTGGCTGCACACCGCAGAGCTAAGCTGGAGCTCGGGTCCTGAGGGGTCTAAAGCCCGGCTGTAAACCAGACTCCCCACAAAGGGTCCCACTGTGTTTATATCATGGCTCCCAGGCAGTCAGATGAGGCCTGTGGCCCTCTCAGAATCATGTTTTTAAATGCATAAAAGAAAATACTTATGGTTACCGTTTCTTTTTTTTGGTACTGGGGCTCGAACTCAGGTCCTTGTGATTGCGCAGCGAGCGGTGAAACCGCTGAGCTAAATCCCGGGCCCAGTAGTTACCATTTCTATGGAAATTGCCAAGAATGCTGATCCTGTTGAAATGTAGTTTTAAAAAACTGTGGTATTGGGCCAGGGATTTAGCTCAGTGGTTTCTCCGCCTGCTGCACAAGCTCAAGAACCCGAGTTCGAGCCCCGGTACTAAAAAACCAAAAAAAATCTGTGGTATGGTGTGTGTGTGTGTGTGTGTGTGTGTGTGTGTCTTTATTAATGGTTACATTCAAGATCTAGCAGTGGTTCAGAGAAAGAAAGAAAAATATAGTTTCCAGGAAGCAATGAGTAAATATTTTTAGATGTCTGTAATGATGGTGATATGAAATAAAACTATTGGAAATTTTATTGGTGCCAAAGCCATGGATCTCGTGCCAATGTAAGGAAACGCCAAATTCCCATTGGACCGATTGACAAGAAGGGTGTGGTCCTGTTCCAGTCCGAGCTCCTGGACCTCTGGGGTCCTAGGTGTGGACCCACCAGGGCTCCTTTGGCCTCCCTCCGACTGAGATAGGAAACTGGGAGCCACCCGGCCTCCACCCTCTGACAGCCAGAGGGGCGCGGTCTCCCTGACCACTGTTCCACCCCCTCACTGTCTTAGGGGTGACCTGGGGCAGCCAGCTCCAGTGTCCTCAGCCCACCTCTGTGGATGCCTTGACTTTGCTCCAGCCCCCGCTGGCTCCTGCAGCCCTAACACGAGTCATGGCTCGGCAGGCAGCCACTACACCACTCCCACACTCCAGGCCACTCAGGCGCTGCTGCAGCTTCTCTGAGGGACAGTTGGAGGACCCACCCAGCAGGGCAAGGCCGGGGGAATGGACAGGACCACTGCTGTTACCCTCGAGTCTACTGAGCCCTGCTGGGCCGTGAGCCACACTGATGCACCGGATTCCGGATCTGAGCCCTGCAGTTTTGAGGAAATGGTGGGAGCTGTCGCCAAGGGGCCACTTCCCCCACACCTCTGTGGAGTTGTCACCAGGCCAGCAGAGGCTGACTTGGGCACCAGAGGCCCCTCCAGAGATATTTGCCTTGGTCACGGCAGGCTTCAGGCGCAGACCTATCCGATGACCCCACTCGCTTGGCCTCTACTTCAACCCGAAGTAGGTCCGTGAGGTGCAGGGCACTGCAAGTTCATGGCTGCCCCTTCCTGATCTGGAGCAGAGCGCTTCTCCCTGCTTGGGTCACTCCCTGTGGGCTCCTCCTGGCTCTCCTCCCCTGCGCTGCAGCACAGGTCTCAGTGAAGCCTCCTCTGAGACCCTCCTGCCTACTTGTGATTTTTCTCAGGTAGAGCAGAGTTTTTTTTCCTCAGATTTTGAGCAGGTAACACTGGAGGCTTCTAGCCCTGAGCATGATTGGCAACCAGAGGGCTGCTGAAGGGCTTCATGGCCCTACTGAGACCTTTGGGGACTGGTAGGGACCTGTGGAAGAGCACCAGGCAGGCACTGGGAGCTGCTGGAAAGTTCTAGAAAGCCACCAAAGGGCTATGACCTCTGCTTCTGAGTGGGGCAGCTGAGAGGCTCCAGGAACTACTAACAAAGCTTGGAGCGATAACACTAAGAGTTAAGAGGTGCCAGCACGCAAGGCTTGGAGCTATAACCCTAAGGCTGAAATCTGCCAGCACTCAAAGCCCAGAGCTGCTAACAAGGGCACTGCCCTTGTCAATTCATGACTTCTGTCTGTATTGTAAAAGAACCCTCAACTGACTGATAACATCTTGGATGCTTCTCGTTATGGTTTATATCTAGATGTTCCCCCAAGGCCTTGAGTGCTCACAAGTGGGGCTTTGGGAGGTGAGTGGATCATGGATGTGTGATGCTGAACACTGGATGAGTCCACTAGTGGGTTTGTAGTGGGGTGTGATGTTGAGAGGTGAAGCTTGGTGGGAGGAGGTGGTCACTAGGGGCGTGGCCTGAACAGTGTCTCTCCCTCCTCCTCCCTTGATTCCTTGCTACCTCCTGCCTGCCCTGCCATGAGCTGTTTCTCCTCTGCGATGGACCTCTGCCATGCCCCCTGCCTTGGAGCCAGCTGACTATGGACTGAACCCTCCACACACTGTGAGCCAAAATAAGCTTCTCCTCCTTTACGTTGTGGGTGTCAGGTATTGTGTCTCAGTGACAAGAAGGTGACTAAGACACCTCCTTTTAGAGGACCCTGAAGAAGGGGGCAGATAGTGGTGATGGTGATGCCAGAAGTTTCAAGCACCAGCCCACATCTGATTTCCACCTCGCATGTGGGAAAGAACCCATGTAATCCAGGGATGTAATTTGTCTTCTCTTGCCTTTGACTACTCCCAGGCTGGAAACCTGCTTGTGAGCTAATGACAAACACTTCTTGGGTGCTCTAAACAAGGCAAGGTCCTAGCACTCCACAAGTGCTTCCTGGGGCCTTCAATGCTCTGAGGGGCCCAGAGAAATAAGAAGCAGCCTTCTCTTTATGTCCGCAGCGGGATAGAGGCAGTGTCTTGCTGGTTTATGAAGAAGTTCAAGATGAGCAAGGCAGGCAGGAAGTGAGTGCCTTGGGAACCGAGAGCATCCCACGGCCTAGGAGACCCAGGAAGAAGTCTCTGAGAAGGCAGTGAGGTCGAACTGGAGGTGGTCAACTGCAGGGGCAGTAAAGCCTAGCGGTTAGGCAGGTGACCAACTGAGTTCAAAACCAGGTCCCGTTGCTTCCTAACCGTAGGACTTGTGGCACACCTTCTTGAGCTCCTTGGCTCCGTTTCTCATCTGTAAAGTGGGGGTGATCGAGAAGGTCAACCAAATCAATGTGCTGTCGGTCGTGATGATGTGACAAATGTCACTGGAGAGGTGGAGAGAAAGGAGAGGCCTTCCTAGGGGTTGGGGACTACTCGGGCTAGGAAGATTCTGGGACCTTTGCTTGGGAAAGGACTAAGCCAGGGAACAGGGCTGCTGGCTCGAAGACTTCAGGTGGAGCTTGGGCAAATGTTTTATTTTTACTTTGTTTTGCACCAGGTGTTAACATGCAGTTTGTGATCGTAAGACGGGGCTTGACTGAATGTTAAAATCGACAGTGGTTTGGAGAGCGCAGTATCGGGAGTGGGATGTGGTGAAGTGTGGCGGTGGTGGCAGAGCCTGCTGCTGCACTGGGAGACACAGACTCCTTCACCTCGTGGAATTCTCCAGCTGCCCCCGGCTCAGCCCAGCCACCCCAGACCCTGCCTGGGACCCCGAGATGGGCTGTAGCACATCGTGTTTAGAGAAAGCCCAGAAATCACCACACCCCTTCAATTTTGGAGACGCTCAAGGATAATATTTCAAACCTCAGGTCACCACCCAGAAGCTGGTTATGAAACTAGTTAATGAGTCATAGACAGCATTTAAAAAATATGAAACAGATCCGAATAGAAAATATCAGAGTGCGATCTGGTAGTTGGGCTAATTATGATTTTGTGGCACTTTGTTTTGCAGGTGGGTGTATGTGTGCGACAGACTGCATCTCCTCCTGTGCACTGCAGGCAAAGCTGTCCACACCAGTGGAAACGGAGCTGGCCTCTCCTCCCTGGCCCTTCCCTCTTTGCCATCCAGCAGGTGCTCCCAGTCCGCTGAGGCCTGTGGGAGGAGAGTTTTGCTCGGTGGCTGAGTGAGAAGGGAAAGTGCTGTGTGTGCCCAGGGCCCTCCACCTCCCAGGGGCTGTGGTCTCCGGAAGGGCAGATGGGGTCGGGCTGAGCAGACCCCTGGGTTTTCTTGGCATGCTCCTCTGCCAGACCTGGAGCTACGCCCAGGGTCTCCGCTGCCAAACCTTCCATCACTGTTCCAGTACAGCGTCTCCTTCTCTCTCCTGTTTCCTCACTCTGTGGCCACACTTCCCGTGCTGGCTCGGGGTTGCTGGCTCGGTGGGGACCCACCACGCCACACAGCAGGAGGGGACAGGGGCGGGAGCCAGCTCCTTGTGGCTCAGCAGTTTCTTCCCGAGGACTGGCCCGGTCCGAGTGTGGCTGGGTCACAGTGGGACTGGCAAGCTCTGGAGAGGACAGGCTTCCTGTCCTAGTGGGAGTCCCCCTGAAGCAGACTCCCATTCGGAGGGCTGAGTGGAAACTGTAGGTTGAGCGATATGACATTTGCCTTTTTATATTTCAAAAAAAGCCAGATCCTGGCAAGGTCACGTGAATCTACTACTATTTTATTCCAGAGATGGAGGCACAGGTGGGGGAGTGGGGAGGCGAGGGCAGAGAGACAGCAGCCAGGAGAGGACTAATTCCCTGGCCACTTGGCCTTGTGGGAGTAGCGGCACTGAGTCCCCTTGGGGAAACTCAGGAGCAGGCCCAGAGCACACACCACAGAGTACCTGCACCGCAGGGCGGGGCGGCAGGTCCTTACACCCACGGGCCACAGGCCTCAGTCGAGTGGTATGGGAAAAGAATGTTCTGGAGCTTCCGGCTTCTTGCAGGGGGGCAGGGGCAGAGAAGAATT